GATATATTTACTAAATTCTATGTCTCTGGTTTCACACCTCAGAAATTTGACATGAAACAAAACAAGGACCAATTGCAATATCTGTTATTCACACGGGGTGTCACATTTTACCATTTCATATATCGAAATTACCCATAACTCCTGCAGCAAATTACATAACACAGAACATGTTGTGAATGTAACTGACCGTATATTCCTTCACAAGTTTCTCATGGTCTTCGTTCAGGTAGACACACAAGGACTTCAGGATGCATGCTCGTCTTGTATGTATTGTGTCATCCTAAGAAAAAAGGGAATCCATAATGACAATATTTAGCTTTTAGGCAGCAGTTTGAAAAAGGAATACTTAGCTTGGAAGAGTCCAAAAGGCAAGTACATATGGTAAATGGACTGGTTCTTATAAAGCATTTTTCTACTCTGAGCACTCAAAGCACTTTATACAACAATTCCTTCACCCATTCACACAAGCACTTTTTCTAAACTGTTTAGTGCTTACTGTCTAACATTCATACACATTCACACTCCGATGGATGCATCGGAGAGCAAGATGGGGTTAGTATCTTGCCTAAGGATTTTTGGCATGCAGACTGGAGGAGCTTGGCACCAAACCACCAACCTTCTGGTTAGTAGCTGACCTGCTCTACCACCTGAGCAACAGCCACCTCGAAACATCTGTCTAAACCAAATCAGACACAAAATGAGGCAACTAAACACTGTTTTTTTTCATTTTGATCAAAATTAACCATAGGATTTTATCAATTACTTATTAATATAAGACTGATGCTTATATAATTTGTATAACAATATAAAAACCTCTTATGACTTTTGCCTACCATATGTATAGATATCTTCGCTCATAAAATTGCCAGGTTATGGGCATAAAAAGTTCTTAAGCACAGATCTAACCCACCTTGGAGATGGCCACCATGATGTGTCTGATTTTTCTGCCAGCCACTCCACCTTTGCCTTGAAAGAGCTCCATCATGCGTGGAGTGTACAAGTCTAGCTCATAAAAGAATCTAGATAGCAGCGGTACTGTCGATATGCGCAGGAATTCCTTGTCAATGTGAAAAACATGAACAATGCACTTACAATATGCACCAGAGGAAGGACATACCAGGAATTATTAGCTGTTTTATCACTGTTTTATCACAATATTAGTGAAGAAAGAAATAACTGGTCAACCATAAACACACTCTTGCGACATAAAGCTATACATATAGGACATGCACCTCTTTCTCGGTGAACAGAGCTGGCCATCTGCTTTTAAAATCTGCAATGAAGGGCTGTCCTTGAATAACTTCTTGCCTCCTGTACGAAAAAGTCTTCTGCATTTTCATTGTCACTATATCGTCATTGTTTCTCTTCTGAACCTCTGAAAGCAGTGCAATTCTCTCTTTTTCCA